ATGTTTAACAAAGAAGCGGTACCAGCTTATATAGACTTATGAATGTATTATCACGGATATATTGTGTGGGTTATGAGGATTTAAATTGGAGGTATACTTTAAGGATGTCTATTTTTCTGTTTATGCTATTGTCGTTTTTATCGAGGCCCAGCTTTCTTAAAATATAGATTGCTCCATTTAAAAACATATGTATATATTTATAAAACACAAAAATATGAATAGTATGTATAAGTATTTCAAAATGCTCTATTTACATAAGAATAATAGTTTCGACAATCGATAAACAGAAGAAAGACAAGTATTTGGAAGGAATATAACTTATCTATGGTGAGATATAGTTTAGCTATTTCATCAATTTGATCTGCCTATCATCTACAACGCTATTTTGCATATTGTTCAAAATTCTTTATTTTTTAAAACTATTTACTATAATACACGCATCCTGCGAAAATATGTACATTAATGAACAAGACTTAAAGAAGTGGAAAGTATTTTATGTCGCCCATAGTCTGTTTTATTATTATTAATTTTTATTTTTTGAAGGAGACAGAGACAATTTTGTTCACACTTGTTTATCTCGTGTGCCTCCAATAAGAGACACTGTGTATCAAATATCAGAATTATTGTCTATATATCAATATACATGCTAAAGTGTTCAACTTTCTTAAGTTTTGTCCATGAGTCTATATATGGTATCCGGGGGATATACTCCAGCTGAATGGCTTTCTTCAGCTTGCCAGGTGACGCACGCGTATCTTATTTACTCCAATCACGGTTTGATAAGAAGGCCGGTGTTTAACACACACAGACGCATGAGCATAAGAAAAGGTATAGTGTCGGCTGTAGGTCTTTTTTTTTTTTTGTGAGACGCATGCGCGAACTAGCTGATTTCTTTTATATAGAAGTGGTGCAGTCTTTGAAATAGTTTTCTAAAATCTGAGTGTGTTTGTTACTAAATCTCTGCTTATATATATATATTTGTCGCATTGTATTAAATTTATAATTGGGGTGATATTTGGTTTAGCTATATCCCAATCTTTCCCCGTCGTCTAAGTGCGATGATCTCTAGTGATTCAATAATTTGGTAGTTGGGTTCACCACTGAAAACTCGGTCCCTACCCTTATTTATAAATCTGTAATTCTCTATTTTTATAAATAAATATTTAAAGTTTAAATAAAATAAAAATACTTTTTCAAATGGAGTCTTAAAAAGTAGCGTCAAATTATTTTATGATTAATAATGTATGGAAACAGAATATACATTTTGAAATTTATATTTATACTAAATATATATAGATATATCGATATTCTTTTCGCAAAACTCGAGATTTATTAGGCCAATTCAACTGATGTTTTCACTCTAACGTTTAATATATCTCCAAGATATCTTTAGCGCAATAAAATCTGTACGGTGTCTTCATATATATAAGGAAGCATAGAGGGCTTCTTCCGTCAAAATAAACGTCAAAAGCTGACGCCATCTATTGACTGTCGCCGCAAACTAGCGGCCTCGGGTCGGTGACAAAGCCACAACACCAGCTTTGGCAAACTGAGAAGCGTCCATCTTGAGACCATGGTTTCGGGCTAATGGCCCTCGTCAGCCTAGGGCGGACTTTATTCCATGAGATCCACACGGGATCTAATGGAATCTTGACAATCTGCCAAAGAGGTGTTTACCTGGCAAAGTGGCTGGGCCAATTCTATGGCTAAAATATAGATGGATATTTTACCGGGAGGATATCGATCTAAAGAGACAAAAGTCGCCTCTCCCATCAAAATAGACGAGGGTCATTAGCCCGAAACCATGGTCTCTAGGTGGACGCTTCTCAGATTGTCAAAGCTGGTGTTGTTGTGGCTTTGTCACCGACCCGAGGCCGCTAGTTTGCGGCGACGGTCAATAGAAGGCCTCAGCTTTTGACGTTTATTTTGACGGAAGAGGCGCCCTATGCTTCCATGAATCAATTTCCTCCCGGCAAAAATTTTTCATCTATATATATATATAAAATTTGTGAAAATATCTAAAAATTATCATAATGATAATACATTTATGAATTTCTACTCCATATATTTAACTCCTATTACTGCGACTAATAAAAATTATATAACCCTTTGTTGTGAAAAAAAAAATCCGTTGAGGAAAACATTCACTTGGGAAGAACCCGAGTACACAAACATTCGGTTAGGGTGTCATGTAATTCATAGTTATATATATTTAATTATTCTCAATATAGAACAATCCATATTTAAATATTTAGGTAATAAATAGGCCTATATTGGATTGAATGAAAGATTTATTCGCCAATATTTCGGTTGGCTGAACGCCAACCTTTGTCAAGGCATTACATTTTGTATAAACAAACCCAGCGCCGCATAGTGTTATAATTATAGTTATATACATATATATAATACTTGTAATTATAAATTATATATTATGTACCTATTTCATACAGACTCATGCAAATGGCTCGATACGCACCTAGCATCGGTAGTGTGAACACCGCGGCTTATATATTACAGTAAGACTTTCATAAGATACCACCAAAAACATCTTTCCCAGAGGTTGATGCTCATCGGAGGTTGTTTTAGATCAGAAGTAAAAGTCTTCGGCCTTATTTTGAAAAAGAATTCCATTACAAAAATTATTTTTGAAGAGTTTTATTATGCATGAAGAATTATCGCTTCTTGTTCCTCTGATCAGGTGACCTTAATCAGCCAATCAGTATGTATTGTTTTTAGCTCGTTGAATAATGAAAAGTATTATATAAGTAAACGTTTTTTATTATCAGAATGTATCTCTCTCTTCTATTTGTGATGCCAAAACTATTTTATAATTCTACTATTCTCTTTGTGCTTTTTAAAAATAGGGTTGTATTTATAATTCATATTGTGATTTTCGAGATTTAATCTTTGTATCATTGTGAAATGTCTTATGATTTTGATATTCACTGTTGTTTTTATAAATTTATCCCAAGTACACATGATACAGGCCATTAGAGTCATGGATATGGTTAGAAACTGCTTTTACAGTAATTTTACCAAATGTATACACATGTGGCAAGCAGGTTGACTTTTGTATTGGAATTTTTTTAGCCTATGAATAGACTGATTACCTCTGCATATCCTGGGCTAATTGTTTTACTGTTTATTCGTATGTATGACTGTAGGCAAGCCAATGTTCTAGTTTTTATATAATTTTCATCAAAGTCATCAGTAACTAATCTAAAAACATCTTCTAAGTGAGGAAAAGAATCACCGCAATTCCTAGAAGAAATATATTTTGTTGATAGGGAAAATAAAATCCTACATATTAGCCCATCTATTTTACATTTAAATAGCTAAACGCAAATCTACGCTATAGAAAAATATTTAGAAGACTGTGGATTAGCCTTTCAACACAAAACATAAACAAAAGGAGATAAACCCCTCACAAATAAATTCTCATAAAAACCACCGATCGGAGATAATCGACAATCTATTTTCCTAATTTATGTGCTTAAAAAAACTAGGTTAATAACTCTGTACATGGGACCTGACAGTGATAGATCCGGGGATTTGAAAACAACGACCAAGTAATAAGTGACGCCTCAGTTATAAAAAAAAATGGCCCGAAGAGACAATGAGAAATCTCCAACGTGAAATTCAAATTTGAAAAGCTAAGCGGATTAGGGCGCCGAATAAACGTATTTATTACGGGGGGCAGTTAATCCTCCCACAATGCTGGAATCCCAATGTGGCAGTCCGTCATTAACTTTAAAATGGCGCGTCAGAGGATTGCGGTAATTGGATCCAACTTCTGCCATCTCTGCTTATCTACCTGGGCTCCTCGCCATCGGCCTAAATGGCTGAAGCTTCTTCGTCTCAACTCTGTACTTATCTCCATATTTCCATACTTTATAATACTTGAATGTGTACTAAGGCTTATCTATAGTCCTTTACCATTACCACGTATCATTGATTCTTAAATAGTATTCTCTTCTCTGGTCTTCTCTGAAACTTCTTTCTCTCAAGTCTGTACTTATCCCCACATTTCCGTACTTTATAACGCTTGAATGTGTAGTACGGCTTTTATATAGTTATCTAACTTTGAAACATATCATTTATTCTTAAATGGCACTCTTCTCTGAAACTTCTTTCTCTCAAGTCTGTACTTATCCCCACATCTCCATGCCTTATAACGCTTGAATGTGTAGTACGGCTTTTATATAGTTATCTACCTTTGAAACATATCATTTATTCTTAAATGGCACTCTTCTCTGAAACTTCTTTCTCTCAAGTCTGTACTTATCCCCACATCTCCATGCCTTATAACGCTTGAATGTGTAGTACGGCTTTTATATAGTTATCTACCTTTGAAACATATCATTTATTCTTAAATGGCACTCTTCTCTGAAACTTCTTTCTCTCAAGTCTGTACTTATCCCCACATCTCCATGCCTTATAACACTTGAATGTGTAGTACGGCTTTTATATAGTTATCTACCTTTGAAACATATCATTTATTCTTAAATGGCACTCTTCTCTGAAACTTCTTTCTATCAAGTCTGTACTTATCCCCACATTTCCGTACTTTATAACACTTGGATATGTAGTACGTTTATACCTTCACCAGGTAGGATTGATTCTTAAATAACACTCTTCTCTGTAAATCTTTCTCTCAAGTAAGGACTTACACCCAGTTCATTTCTATTTGGTTTAACACTTGAAAGTGTAATAAGCTTATATAGTTCTCTATCTTTCCCCCCTGTCATCGATACTTAAATGGAAATCTTCTGGACCTTCTTCTCTAAAGTATCTTTCTTATACTCAGTCCCAGTCGAGTTCTAAGTTTTATTTTTGCATTTGTGAATGTAAAACAACACTTGAAGTTACACCGCATAAGTTTCTTTTCATAAAAAAATCAAAATTTTATTTCAAGGTGAAATATTGACTATTTCTAATCTTTTTGGATGAGGTATGGAAGGGTGAATTATGAAGAGTAATGATGAACGGAAAAATAAAAGTGTCCAGGAATGGGAATCGAACCCACAATGTTCCGCTTACCGGGCAGATGCCATGTCCACTAGGCTACCCTGGCTACCCTGAAAAGAAACTCATGCGGTGTAACTTCAAGTGTTGTTTTACAATCACAACCCGCAGTGTATTATATTTATGAATGTGTATTACGCTTTCAGATTTAAAAATGGCAGCTTTCTCAAGCTTTCAAATCCTTTCTTCATGGATGTATACATAATATATATATATATATATATATATATTTGAATTTTCTTCAAAACCTTTCACGCTTAAATTTTTATTGTTTCGCTTTAAACCTGTCCAATGTAAATTCGCCTTCAGGTTATTTGTTTATTTTCATATTTTAGCACTTACCGATTGGGTAATCATCGTTTTTTTTTTTTTATATCAAGCCATATAGTACTTTATATTCATTTGCACATTTAGTTCAAAACAAATATGCAGATAAAACTTATGTGAATTACCTCCTTATATGAACCATGTTTTAATAGAGATAAAACCCTGCCCTCTTTCAACAGCACTGTCGACGCTACCAAGACACTGGAAACACTTGGTAAGCCGTTTCATAAAGGCAAGCAAGACTCAAATTGCAGGACAGCCCAAGTAGTTAGCGACCTATGGATACGCTCCAGAAGCCTATGTATGTTTCCCATATGGTGCTAGAGCTTAGGCCAGTAGAGAAACGATCGAATTCGAAAGGTAATACCGATATGCCCTATCAAAAGGAGACTCTTTTTCCTAATATGTTTTAGCAATCGTTTAAATGGAGAACGCAATGTACATATAAAAAGCAGGATATTCTATAAGCTTAATTTCGGTCTCTTCTGAGTGTATTGCTTGTTGGAGGTTGGTTTATGTCAGGTGTCAAATCTCAATTTTTATGATTTGACAAAAGTACAAGGAAATGGTCCTTCATCAGTTATATTTCGTTCATGGAAGTCATTCACAATCTATCCTATTTTTCTTATCCGGATTATCATGAGGACGTAAGAGGAGGGGAAAAAAGAAAATGCCTCCGTGAAACCTTTTGAGAAAATTGTTGGAACATTAGGCGAATACAACAAAATGTATAAAGTTTTAAAACTCTCTTTCTTAAATTGGATTCTTTAATCCACATCTCCAGGAGGAGCGAGGGCATGCACACATGCAATTACTCTGGGAACTATACTTGAGAGGAGAAAATTTAAAAGGATTTCTTGGAGAAGGACAAAACGACTAGAGGAATGCAAGGGAAGAAGGAAGGCCGACAATGGTATGTTTTGATATGGGAGCGAAGCCCATTAAACGAAAAGTCTATTTTGAAAGGGCAACTTTGCGATTTAAAGTTGCCATTGACGCGGAAGGTGTCAGGGGAGTCTGGGGGGAGGAAGGTTCCTTGATTAATCTGGTGCTTCTTGGGAAGTCTTTAATTTGTTCCTTCTATCTTGTTGTTGGTTTGTCTGTGTGTGTTTTGTTAGATTAGATTGGTGGTTAAAGATATGGGTATATATTCTATCTCTGTTTGTAATTATTTATAAATATAAATATATGTTGTATTAGATTAGATGTCATTTTAAAGATATCATTATAGATATATGTTGTCTGTTTGTAGTTCTCTTTTGATAGATGTTATATATATATTATTGATTTAAATCCAATATATACCTTTTATTTATTCATAGATATTGTAGCAAAGTGTTTATTATTTTTATTAACAGTGTATCATTCTTTATATTTATATTTTGCTAATCTATAAACTTCCCTTATTGCTCATCTTTTGTTTATCCTTCATAGTTTGTTCTTGTCTTAAATAAATTGCTGTCTTATCCCGAAGTATTTTTTTTTTGTCTTCACTAATTTTCCACGTTGCAATATTATTATGAATTCTTCAACCTTTAAAAAATATATATAGTCTATATCTCTCTCTTTAAATGGTAATAGATATATAATATCTTATATTATTTATAAATTTATAGATTATTATAGTCTATATTTTTATATATGTAGATAATCAATCTATAGATGGTGTTAAATTTTAGTTGTGGAGTTAAATATAGTTGTGTAGTGTTCTGTGGTTGTGTCTATAATATATAAAATTATGGAGAAAGTATATTTTAGATTTGATTAAAAAGGTTCATTTGGATAAATAAATAAGCCAGTTGTTGTTGTCGTGTCCAATGAAGAGCTTCAGATGTCTCCATACATCTTTATCACAGCATTCGCAATGTTCTCTATATTGGAAATAAGCCAGTTTATTATAAATATTCAAATTATGGATTGAACTATATTTCTTTATATATTTATTATTTTGGCAGAATAATTTGAAATTAATCAACCGCGATTATTATTTTACATATTTGGTTACTCGGCATCTTTCTCTCGTTGCCTTTATATTCTTGTATGCAAATAAGTTTGTTTTGATAAATACGAGTAGTTAAATTCATGTTTGTCATCCTTCATTTTCTACATGACAAAATGTTAGATTAAAGACAGGGTTAAATAGGTTGGTCTTTCTATAAGTCTGCCTTTGTTTATATATGTAATCTCTTTATTGTGTTAGATGTGATGTATGGTTCTATGACTTTTCCTATTTGTAGTTCTGTGCGTGGATTTCTCGTGAATTTATAGAACAACGTTGTGGATGGATGATATTCATGTACCAAAAAAGGCACCTTTCCCGTTAATTATACATGAGAACGATGCACTGTACATCACTCTAGTGAAAAACTTTACTAGAGATGATAAAGAATGAGCCACAAACATAGGTTTGGCAAATTGAGATTACAGGTTGGTTCAGTATAAAGGTAGGGATTCATTGTTGATAACTATAATATTCTTCTTGGTAATATTTAGTGAAAAAAAAACGAAATAAAAGAAGAAGAGTTTCTTTTAATAGAAATATATCAAAGCAAGCTTTCGGGCAAAAAAAACCCTTCTACAGGCGTCATTACAGCATCAAACTTGGTACTATAATGCAGGTACAATGGCTAAAATGAATATATACATATAACTATTTACATATTTGCGGAATAAAATTATGAAAATGAGGATTTACATAAGTTATGACTATTTTATAATTAGAGAGATATTAAGTAAATAAATAAATAAATAAAGGTAGGGTTTTTGTCTGAATTCACCCAAACTGAGGTTGTTTAGCATCACTAATAAGTCTTTTTTACTAGGTTAACGTACAAATGCATCGATTAGATGCATAAATAAAGATAGAGGTGCCTCTTTTGGTGCATATATTTATTATATTTTCTGTATAGGTCGTGTTACAATGTAATTTTACAGTAGAAAGATATTCATGTCTAAAAAGGTCACCTCTTCCAAAACAAAGGATCTGGTTCATCATATCTGGTTAAAACGTTCAGATTGAAAGAACAGGCATTCCCCCACGTCCTCTCTTCTGGCACATTCCAACAAAGGCCAACACCCTGTATACCATGGTATGGCCGTGATCCATATCAGTACAGGGAAGGCTTCGATTTCATAATATTCTACGAGAAAAGTTATAAAATCGGTCGAATTAGCAAAAAATAAATATTTTTAAAATATTTTCATTTGAGGTATATGCTCATGGACAACACTTAAGGAAGTGGAAAATCTTAGATGTCGCCGCTCGTCTGTTTTTTTTTTTTTTGAAGGTTAAAGAAGCAATTTTGTTCACACTTGGTTATGTTGTGTGTCCTCAATAAAGGTCACTGTTTATCAGATATCTTTCAGAGTTATTGTATGAATCCCGATATACATACTAAAGGTACAACTTTCTTATTTTTTGTCCATGAGTGTACATTTTATTGTGAATATATTGTAGTGTGTGTTTTATCATTTCGAAACCTTGTTGGAAAGTTACGTGAAATAGTTTGCAATCTCGCATGTTGAAAAATAATATCTGAAAATATGCGGTAATGAATAAATTATAGGGGGGGGGGGGGCTTTTCAACCTTTGGCAACCTCATTGTTGCCACTCTCTATAGGCGGCATATAAAATTAACTTGGAAATCATTTTTCCTTTTTATATCGGCCTCATTCAGCTATTTGGTAAAAAACCAGCGTTATGATTTATTATGATTTTAAAATAAGAATCTTCACGTTAAAATATTCCAATTGATTGAAACCTACTTTTGGTAATCTAGAACTATATAAAAATATCATTTTATAATTTATTTATTGTAATCAATATTAGAAAATCAAGTCTGATTGATGTTTCAATATTTTCCCAACCGTCGTTGTCAATCCAAGAAGAAAGAATGTTGACTTTTTTTCAATACAAGAAAGAATCAAATGATCACTGGGAAGTATGAATTCAACCATTCAAAGTGCTGGGAGCTTGTTTCCATGTGAATACCCTCCTTTTTTATCTCTTTTTAAGAGCGAATATGGGAATGAATCGATATAATGCTAATTTATACACTCGGAATCTTTCATTGAAATTAATATTTGCATAGGATATCGCATCAGAATTCTTATTGAATACTGTCAAATGCCTGTGAATTAAAACGACATTATATGATTCTAAAGATCTTCTCGAATTTCGAAAAAACCTTCGACCTTTACTGAATGCAAGAAAGAAATTGATGGGCTACTTTCTTTGAATCGAAGAGATTTGTAATCTTAATCAAGCTGTGAGATCGAAAACATTGCTGAATTTGAATAAAGCGCAAAGCGTTGTTCAAAAATGATTTTAAAAAACTCTACCATATTTGATCATGACAATGAGATGGAGTTGACATAGATGCCAAAACAGTTTCAATGAAGTTGGAATTAAACTGATCTCCTCCCTCTATATTCCCCAGATCTAGCGCCCTGTTAGATGTTTCTATATTTCCCCCAGAAGTTCAACTTCTTATCGAAAAAATCCACTTTAGTTGAAGATAATTCCCAAGATCACATCGATGGTGGCATTACTTTAACAAAAGAATTCTGAGCCAGCTCCAGCGGTTCATGGTATAGAAGATGGAACTTCCCAGTGAAAGTAATGGTGAGCATTTTTTAAGTACTAGTTTTAAACTTATAGGAATATAGACTCAGAGACAAAACTTAAGAAGGTATGTATATCGTAGGTATGTATAGGTTGTA